GGGGTAACTGGGGACTATCTCATTGATTGATACTATTTCCAGCTTAGTTTCTGAAATGGGAGCCTGAAATTTGGTTGTGGAAAGACGAAAATTGTAGATGTCAACCTGAAGCAGCTCTATATTTGCCTTCCACTTTAGATATTTCCCCCTTTTGAGTGTTTCTTATCTGTATGCCAGATTCAAGGTACATTTCTTCTTTTAGTCTCTAACTACTAACAAGTAAATCCTTGAAGCTTTGACCTCCTTCATAGTTACATTTTCCTCAGATCAGTTAATGGGTGGGTGCCAGGATAGAAGACTTCGCTAGCGTTTGGACATAGATTTGTTTGAAACTTGAAAAAATGAGTTTTTGAAGATGAGATAAAAAATAATTTTTGAAAGTTGAAATTGTGTTTGGACATGTATTTTACTTGAACAGAATTTAATTTGAAGTTTGTGAGTAGAAAACTTCCAAAATTACTCTAGAGTTGTTTTTGGGATTTGAAGTTTTTGTTTTCAAAATTTGCCAAAAAATGGTTAAAATCTATAAACAAACAAATATTTGAAAACAAAATTTGAAAAAAAGATCCCAAATGCTATGGCCAAACGGGAGCTAAGAATCTAGAGCATGGAACGGATTAGGTGTTGTTATTACTTTTCATCTTGAAGTTGAAGGTAGATGTAAGACGGTATGGAGCAATTGTGTGTAGGAAGTTCCTGTCACACAAATAAATAGGTCATGTCACCGACCAATTCCCAGACTTCCAAGAATTCCTTACACAAGTACTATTATCAATTAAATGGCTATCTCTCCTATACCTACTTCATAGTTACGTTTTCCTCAGATCAGTTAATGGGTGGGTGCGAGGATAGAAGACTTAGCTAGCGTTTGGACATAGATTTGTTTGAAACTTGAAAAAAATGAGTTTTTGAAGATGAGATAAAAAGTAATTTTTGATAGTTGAAATTGTGTTTGGACATGCATTTTACTTGAAAAGAATTTAATTTGAAGTTTGTGAGTAGAAAACTTCAAAAACTACTCTAGAGCTGTTTTTGGGATTTGAATATTTTGTTTTCAAATTCTGCCAAAAAATGGTTAAAATCTATAAACAAACAGATATTTGAAATCAAAATTTGAAAAAAAGATCCCAAATGCTATGGCCAAACGGGAGCTTAGAATCTAGAGCATGGAACGGATTAGGTGTTGTTATTACTTTTCATCTTGAAGTTGAAGGTAGATGAAAGACGGTATGGAGCAATTGTGTGTAGGAAGTTCCTGTCACACAAATAAATGGGTCATATCAGCGACCAATTCCCAGACTTCCAAGAACTCCTTACACAAGTACTATTATTAATTAAATGGCTATCTCTCCTAAGCAATGTATAAGGTTAAATTGAGCCTATATCATGTGATACCTCAATTAGTTAAGGACCGACTAAGCTAATACACAAAGTTACGAGAGTAAAAGCACAATTGTGTATGATGGGGTTTAGGTGTGATTTTGTTATATATACCTTGATGGACTACTTTTGCAAGATTGTGCAAGAATAATGCTCCAAGTTCTAGTTAAGCAGCAGAATCATGAACATTTATGTATTAAAAAACCATTATGGGTTTACAGGAATGACTAAAGGCAAATTACCTGTAAAATGGGGTAATAGCCTTGACAAAAGTTATGTTCTTTGAATGCCCTCATAAAAAAATGATGTTCTTTGAATGCCGAAATCTGATGCAATTAACTAATGACATAATTTTACTTTTACTTTGCCAATTCAACCTTTAAGTAGTGGTGAGGGTTCATGTCTGTTTAAAAATGTGATTAAAGCTTTGGACATAAGGAATGATGTGGAATTGGTATATACGAGGGAAGAGTCTGTTGATATTGAATAATTGGAAAATGGTGAGAATTGCAATTTGAGGAGAAAGTGAGCAGAGGCGAGGAAGTTTCCTAGTTTCTTTTGATGACATTTACAGTCATCTCATTAATCAGTAATGCTTTCTTTTTGTTAGTTGGTATTCATAACAAGAAAAAGCTACAGTCTTTCTTTTTAGAGAAATTAGAAAATGGTTTTAAGGAAAATAAATATGAGATCATTTACACTTTCACAGAAAATTTCTAAGAAAGCAAAAAGAGGTTAAGTTACGAAAAAGGAACAAGCTGGTTTCTGAAGAGCTCTAGTAATATCTATTTCCAAAGTGTGTTTGCAAGAATCTAGAGATCTTTTGCTTAGTGCTTGCAAACATCACAGCAGTAACAGTGTTTTTACTGGTGTTCAGCATTCACGGATGTCTGGCTGTAGTATGGCTTTTTAATTACTATATTTTCATCCATATGGAGAAAATATGGAGAGCTTTTGAGGGAGTAGAGAAAGACTTTGTGCACTTAAGGAATAGCCTTGTTTCCCTTATTTCTTTCTGGTGCACCTATGAGGTTTCTATTTGTATAGATGATTGTCTTTTGTAGAATATCATGTCTTTTTGTAGGTTTTCTATTTTTTTGTATGCTTCTTCTATAGTCTATACGGGCATGTTTTTGCCCTTTCTTTAATGAAATTTATTACCCTATCAACAAAAATAAATTTTCATCCATGGCTTCCGTTACAAGTGTTATTTATGGATTGCGTTTGACTTGATATTCTTCTTAATGATATTTGAGCTTTTCTTTTTTAATGTGTCTTTGTTTCTCTTTCTATCATTATTTGGTATTGTTCTGTCATGACTCATTATCTTGCTTGTTTCCTTTAGGGATAATATTGGAATGTATGCCCAAGTTTACCCAGCAAAATTCATTTTGGGTTACTGCTCAACATACATATTCATGCAGACATTTATGATTCCAGGGACGATTTTCATGTCCTTACTTGCTGGAGCACTTTTTGGTGTTCTCAGAGGGCTTTTCTTGGTTGTCTTTAACGCTACAGCCGGTGCATCATCCTGCTATTTTCTGTCTAAATTAATTGGCAGGCCTATAGTTAACTGGTTGTGGCCTGAAAAATTGAGATTTTTCCAGGCAGAGGTCTGTGCTCTTCTGAAACTGATTACTGGTGTTGCCGATCTAAAAACTTTCATGGTACCTTTGTTTCTTGTACTTACAAATGTGAAACTTGTGGTTTCAGATAGCCAAGCGTCGGGATAAGTTGCTCAACTATATGCTGTTTTTGAGAATAACTCCAACATTGCCAAACCTTTTCATCAATTTGGCATCTCCTATTGTGGATATACCATTCCATATATTCTTCACGGCCACATTGGTTGGTCTCATTCCAGCCTCATATATTACAGTCAAGGTAAATCATTCTTCAGCTGGTGGTGGCTTCTTTCTGTTATGCTTGTCTGTATTTGCTGTTTTAAACTGTTCTAATTTATTTTCTGGAAGCAATGACTAGTGATGCATCTAAAAGACCTGCTCTTTTGTTATTCTTAAAATTACTAGCTTTGTTCGTCTGCTAATATCAAACTACTAACTTCCTGTTAACCTCGGTCCAAATATTTGTATATAGAAACAAGAATCTGAACCTTGTTCGCTATATGTGGATGGTAAAGCAGTGCTAGGATGCCTTCCTTGGCACTAATATTTATGTTGCAATTGCCATTTGTCAAGCTCACTAGTTTGTTACTTTCAGTAAAAAGCCAGGTAAAGCTGTACTAGATGTATAAGTTAAGAAAAAAGAGCTTATTATCTGAAACTTAGTTAAAATCATGTGAGCTGTTAAGATTGTCCAAGTGAATAACGTGGCAATATCTCTCTTCGACATTCTCTATGAAGCTTAAGAGGTTATTTTTTGGGTATCCTACCGCATGCGCCATGTGTTTCTCAACCACCTGCTACCAATTCAGCCCCGGACAGGGTTTGAGGCGTAGCTGATGCATTTTGGTTGAGTCTTGCAATGCGAATGTAGCTTGCTATACCAATTTAATCGTTCCTATGTATCGTAATCTTATGTGATATTTTCCTTCTTTAACTTGTCAGGCGGGTCTAGCTCTTGGCGATCTGAAGTCAGTCAAGGATCTGTATGATTTCAAGACCTTGTCTGTGCTCTTCCTCATTGGTTTTATCTCAATAATACCTACCATCTTGAAGAGGAAGAAAATATACGAATAGAGCTCCTCGCGGAAGGCCATGGGATCCTCTTGGAAAGTAACTTAGAGAAGATATAGTTTCTTTTTAATGTCAGAGCAAATTGGAGAGGCAGGACTTAGTGATAGGCCGGCAATTTCTATATGGCACCTGAAATCACTGTCCAATCCTTTTGGAGAATAGTGGAAAATGTTGTGTTCTTTGCCAATTCCTTATGTTTACTCTGTCATTCATTGCCTGACCCGAAGTGATTGGTAGTATTGTTTAATGTAATTCAAATGTTGCAGGCAGATATTAATATGGATTCTGATTAAAAAATTGTTCTTATAGTCATCTCAACTGCCATGTTATGGAAATGCAACATTGTGATATCATTGTGGAATTTCGTTGAGCAGATATGGTTAAATGTTGTTAGAATGTGCACGGCTAGCAAAACATGGTAAATGGTTAAGGAGTAATGATACGCCAAAGAAATGAGTACGTTAACTCCAACCTCTAGTTTTTTTTTTTATCTCCCATTGTCTATAAAGTTGGCAGCAATGGAGATCAAATTTCTCTATAGTTTCATTATTTTTGTTGTTAGCTTGAGCTGTTTTCTAAGAGGCTCCCTTTATTTTCTGAAAATTATTTCCCTCAGCCTACGGAGAAGCACTAAGTTTAACAATCTCTTAACCTCAATTCACATATAAGTGCCATGACATACATGTTTAGTACTTGAGAAGAAGATAAAGAGGTCAATTCACATGAAGTGAGTGCAGAGAATAATTGGTTGAACTCAATAGAAAAAATATCTCTTCAATGTGCAAACTCGAATACACTGCCCAACGAAATGATACATGCAAAGAAGGAAATTGGATGGGAATTACAACAAAAGATGAAGTTCAATGCACCTTTGAAAATTAATTTCCGCCATTGCTTCCCCAGTCTATACAAAACTACAATCACCTTGGAAGGCACTATTAGCAGATGTTGAGAAAACAGTAAATTGGAATGTAATCTTCAGCCCTAAAATCACTTGGCAGCTTCCAAGTCTGCTAGAGTGACTGCTGGTGAGTCTTGATAACCAGTAATACCCATTATTCTTATCCGAGTAATCGGCTACATGATTAACATAAACCAAATTAATTAGTGACAAGCAAGGACAAGATATGGTATTCTGTAAAAATATCATTTTAAGAAGGGCATGTCTCATGCAATGGCCGCAAGCGCATTAATTTAGAAATTTTTCATGTTGCTGGGGAATTAAACATAGATAATATATGATAGACTATGGTGAAAATTGTTTTGGCAACCAAGTAGGTTAAAAAAAAAAACATCAATCTACTCTATAGTTATTCGGATATCAATAAAAACAGTTCTTTCATACCTGTCTGTGACCAATGTTCCTTCTGTAGTTCTTTTTCTTCTTATACTTGAAGACAACAACCTTCTTATCTTTCAACTGTGTGGAAATATAACATTGAGCCAAAAGAGATGTCAGGTAAACAAGGTGTATCAGGGGAAACTAAAGTAGTGGAAGAATGATGCCTGACCTGCTCTTCAACAACAGCGTGGACTGCTGCATTTTGCACTACTGGTTTTCCAACCCAAGTACTTGTTTTCGTTCCCACTAGTAACACCTTGTTTAGGATAATCTGCAGAAATGATCAAGTATAGATGTTTCAAACAAATATCCTCAGTCATTGAATCTTGAAATAGAATATTACCAATATGCCAAGAGTAATCTTGACATAAAATACCATACTGACGAATAGTTCCTCTAATTTCAACTCCATGGTAGTAAATATATACAATCCGCACACCCTCCTAACTCCTAATATTACCGTTATATCAAATGCTAGCTTCCGCATTAGATAATTGCCAAATAGATGTATCAAAGACAATGGACCGATGAGATACAAATGTCAATGTTCGTTGAAATTGATGCCTTTCAACAGCATGGTTTGCATAATGGATTACTGGAGATGTGCTAACTACATGAATAACAGAGTTCTCCTCCATCGTTTGGCTGGTACCAGGCTTTAAAAAACTTTACTTCGAGCGAGCTGTCTTTCTATACGCTACATGTATTTTTTATAGAATTTGATGCAGTGATAGGACGAGTCTTGTCAAGAAGTCTAGACGACCCACCTCCACATTTATTTTCCTGATGACCGAGAAATCCGTCTGGGCCAACCGTTAGGACCAACCACAGCCTTCGTAGCTCGGGGATAATGGGCCCATCCTCTACCCTTATCTAGTTAAATACAAGGCTTAGTTCGCATGCTACTTGGATCAAACTAGTGACCTAACATAGAGGAGTAACTAGACTTTGGTAGCTAACAAGGAAATAAATTGTAAATCAAGATAAGACCAAAAAATATGCTCACCTTGTCATTGACATTTGCACCTTTAAGCCTCTGGGTGTAGATATACCGCCCAGGAAAGACGATATATTGTCGAGATCCGACCTATCAATAATGAGAGAGGAAAACTTAACAAGCAGCTTAATGTATCAGTGACAAGCCCAATTAAGTTATTGTAGGATAGTATGAAGTTCATTTAAAAAAGAAAGGGAAACAAAATAAAATATGAAGAAGGATGACAGCTAGAAGACTTGAAAACTTGAGCAGCAAGAACAATCATCAGATTTGAACAGCAGTTATAAATCTCCTTGCAAGAGTGAATGTTTTCCACAAGGAGAAGAAAATATCCATCAACCAAGCAGTAGCTTGAATGTTTTCTCCAGTTAGCTACAGCAGTTCAGAAGCAATAAAAAGATAAAAGTGCATAATATGTTAACCTCGAAATCAAACTTAATTCAACAATTATGAGACTTGTACATAAAGGTACACATAGACTTGCATGCTAGAATAGATATGTATGCCCTCTGACAAGTGTTTAACACCTAATGTTAGTACCAGGTGATAGTTGTATCCCTTATAATCTGCAATATGAACCCCTTTAGGACTAAGCTACAGGAAATACCTGCCCACGATAGATGGTCCACTTTGAAAAAGAAATTATACTAAAAACCAAAAAAAAAGGTAGACTGAGATTTATGAAATTGGATATAGTGTCCAAAACACGGCATAAAGGATATATGCCGTACTATATCTCTGTCATGTCTTCAGTGTAACTGCAGTTTTCTATCCGTTAACAAACATACCCCACTCAACCCGGAGAATACTAAGGATACAAAGGGTTAGTTCAGCTTATGTAGCACGGACTACGCCAAAATTGCCCATAGCAGCATAACTGCCAAGTCTACATAACACAAACACATAGACATGCAAATTGCTCCTTTTAAGACACTCTAAAAGAAAATGATAAACCTAAGATTGGCTGAAATGACATAGACATATCAATAACAGAAACGAAACAATTCCATTTTAACACTCCATGTTCTCACAATATACACCGTAAGGCAGCATCGACGTCTCAATAGTACTTCAGCAAACATAGAATTTGAACAAAGTACATTCAGTCTAGGAATATTCTTTCATGAAAAATGTTCTCGAGCGGAAATATTTTACCTCGGAAACTCTTTTTATGGTTAACATTTTCTAGTATTTGGTTGGACATACAAGGTGTAGCATATGGTATGAAATTCTGCTTTTTGTGATATTTTTCAGTATTAAAGGTTGACAACATGTCAATATTGAATCAAAGTAGTAATTTTTATATAGAAAAATGACTGCCGCCCATAAGTAACGAAATCATTATCCCTTTTTTAGAACACCTTAAACAATTCAAGGTAACCAAACACTCAACTTTTCATCTGAGAAACAAAAGTTCCTCATTTAATTTGAAATTAAATCCAAATTACACTCCCAAAGTGAATTGAAAACAGACAGAAATGTATACAAAACTATGCATAAGAAGGAAAGTGAATCACCATAACAACAGCAAACACTTCTTCTCGTTTAGGTTCCAAGCTGGAGGAGGAGGCTTCCACAACTGGGGAAATTACAGGCTCTTCTGATTCAGCTACAACTTCAGCAACTGAAGCTTCAGATTGTGAGAATTTGGGCACAAAAGAATTGGGTTTAGAGGAACGGAGACTGAGAGCAGAAAGTGAATGAGATAGAAATGTAACATTGGAAATTGCTTTGGGAACAGAAAGGGTGTTGAGAAAAGTTTGGTTCTTGGATAGTACTGTTGTTGAGGGCGAAGAACACAGTGAAACGGTAGCCATTGTTGGAGAGGAAGAGAGGTTTTCTCGGTATTCTGTGAGTGTGTCTCAATTTTATCTATGAAAAGCCTATCCTATCTCCAGTGCAGCGGTTGTTTTCAAATGACCATTTTATCCTTGAACTCTTCTAATTCCTTTAGATTTATTAAATGGTATAAATTTGAATGTGTGCATATTAATATTCTTTTTTCGTATGTATATTAATGTTCGAAATTACGAAATTCTTAATCATATAGTACGATCATGTACACACTTGAAGCCATCATATTTGAATTTAGGATTATTACACAAATAATCGGTCCTATTCAATGTTTACTTTTTTTAGCCAGTATACATAAATTATACATTGATTATACACATTTATACATATATCAAACATAAATTATACATATATTATACATTGACTGACTATTTTAAATTTAAGAGATTAGATGAACGACTATTTGGGTTAATTCTTCTTTGAATTTTGACTGAGGTTAATTATGTGAGTGTCACATCTGATTTTTGCAATTACACGTATCTCACATATATAGTCTTAGGATACGCGTGTTGTGTGTATACCCATGTTAATAAAAATAAATTTTAAATAATATAAATAGTATATTCAAAAGATATTTGTGATGAATAAAAATTAGCAAAAATATACTTTCCAGAGATAATTCTTTCAACCTACACTAATTAACTTTTTCAAAAGCCAAAATTCTCATCATCTGATAAATACGTTTTCTTGGATTTTTTGTAATGATGTTAAGTCCTAGGACATATTACGCATGTTTATGTTATAATTATATATATATTTTATTAGGCAAGTATATTATTTGATATTTAGTATTTTCTTAACATCTATATTTGCTGATAAAGTAATTTTGAATAATTAGTATTAGGCAATTAATTAAATTACTATCTTGTCTAGTGCGGACTCTATTTTTTAAGGGTAAAAAAGGCATACAATATTTCACTAAAGATTTTCGTGCTTTTAATATAGTATAGATTTACTGGATATTGATACGAACTTAGGTAATGACAAAATAAAATATAAGTAAAAAAAACATATAAGAAATATCAATTAGCGAGAGATAAGGATATATTGCTATTGTTGCAATTCCTTTTGATTTGGTGTTTGATTTTTTTTTAATTTGAGTAAAGACTTTTATATTAGTAGGGACAAGTGTGTGATTTTAAAGATGTCAAGTTTTAGAGAATTTATAAATTGTTTGAAAATATAAGAGCAAACTTCATTTGTAATCATCCGCGAAAAACTAATGACAATAGATAGCCACAAAATAAACCATGCAATTAACAACCCAAAACTAATTAAAGGGCTAGCCCAAAACCACCGTCACTCTTCCCCCTTCAAATTTCAAACTTTTTAACTTTGTAACCTACTTTAATCCATACCTTCCCCTTACTCTGCTACCTATTTAAAGAAATTCGAAGTAAATTATTTATGCATTTTCAGACATCCCCTTTTGTTTTAAAGTTCCGTTAGCTGCTAGTATTAATTTAAAAATGAGTTTTTTTTTTTCTACTTGGCACTTGAAAGCTACTCCTATCTTATTTTTATTTTTATCGCTACTTACTTGTTGTTCACTTTCGTAAATTGGAGTTCACAAAATTGTGGAGAACTTTTTATTACGGAGCAATGACGAGTTCCTTTAATGTGATTATGATATTTTAAATAATCCTGTGTTAGGCTTTTTGGTTCAACAATTTTTTTCAAAAATGAAAATATAACCTTTTTATTTGCTTTTGTCTTGAATTTTGATGGATCTGTTATATACTCACATCAGAAGGTGCTGATTCTACCAGTCCGGTGACAAACTTGATCTCACTGACTACCAACAAAAGCTTTTCAACATGGATTTTTTTACAAGAGAAAATGATCAAATTTATCCCAGAACTATGCAAAGTGATTTCAAATTTTGCTCTGAAAATCGAATAACAAAAATAGTAACACACTTAAATTAAGTTTGGAATAACAAGTCTATTGTATATAAATTGTATAGTAACAGTCTATTTTGTATAATTTTCATATAGTGACAATCTATTTTATATATATTTTGTAAGAGTGGCAATGGATTTTTTAAGTGTCACTATACAATATATATATAAAATAAACTGTCACTATACAAAAATATACTAAATAGACTGCTACCATACAATTTATATGCAATAAACTGTCACTATACAAAATATATACTAAATAGACTGTCACTATACAAAATAGACTATCACTCTACAAAAAATATACAAAATAGACTGTCACTATACAAAAAATATACAAAATAGACATTTCCTGCTATCATGTGTAATATGTTTGGGCCGGAGGGTTATTTCGTGTCAATGGGGGAAAATATGGGTTATTGAAATTTTGAAGCGCTATAGAGGGTAGTTTTCTCAAAATATAAAAACAAACAATATGGAAGGGCTATAAATAATCATATAATTAGTGTAACTAGTTTAAATTTGGCGCATAGACAATTGATTGAAATGTACCCTACATTCGCATTCAACTCCTAAATTAACATCTATCTTTTTTTGGATCTTTTTATTTACGAAAAATGGTCAAAACTGCCCCTGAAGTATTAGTGTACAAAATGCCCTCTGTCCACCTATTTGAATAAAAATATTTCTGCCGTTATTTTTTTGGCTCAACATTATCCTTATTACTAGCAGAAAATTCTAAAAAGAAAAAAAAATTTAATTAATACCCACGTGTCACCGTCCCATTGGCCTAACTTAAACCCTAAGCCAAATTATAATTAAACCTACCTGTAACCCGACCGGATAGATGCGCACCAATTTTAAAACATACTAACTCTCTCTCTCCTCTACCTCTTCGCCATTTCGTTTTAATGAGCATTTTTTATGAATGTATGTCTACAATTATTCATGAAGCAAACCCAAAATAGAGTACTCTATTAGAGTAATTTTTATGGAAGATAGAAGGAAATGTCATATTCTTCTTTATGCAAAAAGTTTAGATTCTTTTTGTTTATGTAATGGGTATTCTTAATTTATTGTATTTTTTTATTTGAAATTTCTGGTGGTTTGCGTCATTATTTTTTGTCATTCCTCTATGAAAATCTGAGAATTTTTTTCAATTTTATTACTATTTATGTAATGTGTATTTCTATTTTAAATTTATTTCGCTATTTGTTCTATTAATATGTAAGCTTTTATGCTCTACGTAACATGTATTGCGCAATTATCACATTACATACACACTGGGTTCATATGATGTACTAATAATAGTCGACAAATTCTTCACTAATATTTATTTTCTTCTTTTGAAATCATTTTTTTATCATGGATTCAATTTTTTCGATTAGATTACTGTGCTAAGTCTAGTTAAAAAAAGAAATTTCTATCCATAATTTGTAAGTGAGATGGGCTGCTGTATTTGTTGCTATTTCCGGCGAATTCGCCGGTGGATTCCACTCAAGTAGCAACGAGGAGAAAGAGAGAGAGAGGAGTTGTGTTTTAAAGTCGGAGCGGGTCAATATTCGGACGGGTTACAGGTGAGTTTAATTATATTTTGGTTGAAGTTCAAGTTAAGCTAATGGAACGGTGACACGTGGATATTAATTAAATTTTCTTTTTTTCCAGAATTTTCTAATAGTAATAAGGGTAATGTTGAGCCAAAAAAATAATGGTAGGGGCATTTTTATTCAAATAGTGTGGACGAATGGTATTTTTGTACCAATTCTAATACTTGAGGGGCAATTTTGGCCCTTTTCCCTTTTATTCACTAACCTTCTTAATTAAGAGTATATTTCTCCTTTGTTAATTGTATTGATGTATTCCGTTTTCTTTTTTTCTTTTCCAGTTAATTTTGCTCCTCTTCAAGAATAACGGGAAAGGTCCCGATGATAGAATTGAGAGAAATGAAAAATGCAGTTTTAATAAAAACAAACTTTCAACAGAAAAAAGTAAATAATTGAACCTACCTTAAGAAAAAAATCTCATTGTTCGGGAACCAAAAAGAATTGATGTCATTTGTTATGATAAATCAAGCTTGTACAATTGGAAATGAACTAAAGACATAAAGGAAAGAAGATTTACACTGATTTTAGTGTTTTAACATATGGCAAAATGATAAACAAGTGTTATTCAATATCTAGTAACACCAAATTAATATAGACACAAAAGAAGGTTTTTACAACACTCCTCAAGTACAGACAACAGTGGTCTAAATTTGTGAAATAGAGGAGAAGCCGTCCAATTATATAGTAAGATAAAGCAGCAACAACAATAATTTTGCTACTATAGAACTAAACCTATCTACCATGTCAAACAATAGAACACCATGCACCAATCTCTCTTGGTTGCAGTCCAACATTGTCTCGGCAAATGCAGCTCTAGCTAGTTGACTCTTCCCTGGTTCGATTGAAAGCCTCACCATCTCCCTAGATCCTCGATTGGTCCAACGTTTTTCTATCAGCTTGGTCTGGTAAAGAATCACGCTAGGATCAGAGAGGTGAGTGCTAAACAAGCTAAACTTAATGTTTAACATGATATCTAAGGCAAAGAGTTAAAGGAAAAGATGCATATATCAGAAGTGCAGTCTGAAATTTTGAATGAGATATATCTTTCCTTTTTCAAATTTATCGACAAGTTGGATTGGTTTTTGATAGAACAAGTTGTTAGCTAAACAAAAGATAACAGTAGTAGAAACCTTCTATTGATTTTTGTCACAGTCATTTGCTCCAAAAGCATCTGCCAAGTTAAAATTCAAATTGCCTCTCATAGTTCTGGCTGCAAATCCTGTATTTCCCTTCTTCATCATTGTCGCAAATTCTCCATAATCTATACGTCCATCCTGCAAAACAGAAATTGATATTACCTTGGTTGTTCTCAGAAATCAGATCAAAAAAGTAAATAAATAAAATACTGAAAAGCTATATTGGACAAGTTAGTTTTTCTTCTTACATTATCTATGTCAATCTCTTTAATTATGTCATCCAATTTAACATCACCCAGGCCAAAATCTATGCAAGCCTGTTGAAGCTCATCAGTGGTAATATAACCACTGCCGTCTTTGTCAAAGTAGGAGAATGCAGCAAGCAGATTCTCCTCTCTCTCCATCTTATTCAAATGCAGTGTCGCGGCAATGAATTCACCGTAGTCAATTGTGCCACTGTTGTCAATGTCAGCCTGCAAAAACATATCGCACTATGTCATTTTGCTACTTATTTGGAGGGACTAAAATCGTGGGATTAATTTTCCTACTCGCTCTCTAGAATCACTGTATCAAGTAAGGTCAGGAAACTAATCCAACAATCAGGTAGGATCAAGAAACAGTAACAAAATGGCAAATGCGTATGCTTTTATCTGATGCACAATCTAGTACCAAATGGTATTGAATGGTATAACTCAATTAAGTACATTTTACAAAATCTTTGGAGATTCTGAAACAAATTAAAATGGAAAGTACCGCGTTCATCAAGGCCTTGATTTCAGACTCCACAAGGTCAGATCCTACTCTTTTCAAGCCGTCTTTCAGTTCCTCATATGTGATTGTCCCGCTGTTATCTGTGTCAATCATTTTGAATAACTGCTTTAAGCCTCCTATTTCTTCCTCAGAAAGCCTTTCTGCTATGACCTGTTTGTACAGTGTTTCAATTGTCAGAAATCTATCTAAGATGCATATTTGGGAAATTGAGACACAAAATAAGGATCTCAGTAACATAGAGTAATGCATTGGAAACCATCATAATTGACATGCTGAATAATATGATTTTGAGGTATTCAAAGAAGAACCTGGACTTCAGTTTTTACAAGTTGCTAAAATTCACTGTAAGAAACTTTTGGTTCAACGCATATAGCTGGCTAACAATATTTTTGCACTTCATCTATTGGAGAAAAAATAGTTATATTTGACTACTTGAAGGTACTCAAGGTTTTTCTTAAAATATCTTTGTAACGGTCTGCCAAAGACCAATTTCTCAGGAATACCTATTGGAATCCAAAATTTACTTTTAACACCTACAAAAACTTCTTGGAAGACTATCCTAAGTGATATGTGAACATTTAGCTTTCGATAAATCTTTTACCTTGTTCTTCCCTCTCCATTTTTCTTGGATAACAGATTTTTCGCGCTGAATCACTTGGATTCATTTTTCAAAGACCCCAGAAAAGGAATAGGGTCCTAGATATGTTTCTTGTACAAAATCTTAGCCTTAGGGTTCCTTCTCTAAGGATGCAATATAAAAGTAGTAATATGATAGTTGTCTACTGTGATCCTGCTCCAAGACTTAGCTCATCTCAAGTAAATTTCCAGCTGAACTGTAGAAGGAAAATTCTAGAAAAACTGTTAAATAAATTACAAAATAGTGATATGCATTGCATAAACATAATATCCCAAGAACTTTTCAACAACCCAATATTATGTTTTTAGTCCCCAATGGTGATATGTACTTGATACTCGAACAACGGGCAATGAGCAAATTTCATGCTTTGAAGGTTTATCATACTGCTATAATATAGTGAAGAGATCTAGTATATCTCCAACATCAATTTCAGACTGTTATACTTGTGTTTCTGATCCTAGTTAAGAATTTACGTATGTCAAGTATCTGAACAGTGTTAACCGGCAAAAGAGCAAGAGATTATTATATAAAGGAAGTACATACTCGTAAAGCCATTTTCTTGAGTTTGTTCATGTCATAAAACTGCTTTAGGCGAGTCAAAACTGCAGATCCCAAAGGTTTGTCTGGAGCAGCCATATCGTTCACAAGCCACGGATGACCTTGAGGAAAAGAAAAACAAGCATTGATAATGAAACTATCTGCTACTACTTCAGTTAATATTACCAATAAAGCAAGTGTGACTTACATAGGACCTCATGTGCAGTTATTCGCGCTTTAGGATCTCTGTTGAGCATCTTTTTAACCAAGTCTTTTGCACTATCAGATATATGAGGCCAAGGTTCAGATTCAAAGTCTATCTTTCCTTTCAAAATCTGCTTGAAGATACCATTGTCTGTCTCTGCAAGTCCAGAAAGTGAAGGAAAAGAAATAGATTAAGTAATTAATCTTGATCGTCATTCCTAGTAAGAAAAGAAGATATATGAAACATCAACGTCNTCCAGAAAGTGAAGAAAAACAAGAAATAAGGAAAAGAAACAGATGGAGTAATTAATTATCAACATTGTAAATTTACCAGCCCAAAAAGGAGGAACCCCAGATAATAAGATGTATAAGATGACACCAGCACTCCATACATCTATCTCAGGTCCATAATATTTATGCAACACTTCAGGAGCAACATAATAAGGACTTCCAACAACATCAGATATATAATGCCCTGCAAAACAAGATTAGATGAGGAAAGAAGGCAAATAGTCTACAGTGATAAGAGTTAATTCCAGTATTTGTCAAATATCATATTAATATTACTGGATATTATCTCTTTAATGAGTAAATGTATAGTTGTTGCCATGTGACCAGGAGGTCACGGGTTCGAGCCGTGGAAACAACCTCTTGCAGAAATGTAGGGTAAGGCTGTGTACAATAGATCCTTGTGGTCCGACCCTTCCCCACACCCCGCGCATAGCAGGAGCTTAGTGCAGCGGGCTGCCCTTTTTAATGAGTAAATGTATAGAGAGTCAAATGACTAGTCAGTGACTTTTAAGATCAAGTAGTTAATGTGACTTTACATGGTAGAGATTGAACGGTTATGAGAACGAAAAATGAAATAATGTGTTTTTGGTCGATTTGTAATGCCTAATTTTGATGTCTATGGAAATTGTATTCTCTCTTCGAACTCGCAAAAGGTGACATGCTTATTAGTTTCCAGAAAAGCTGTTGAACTGAATAAATTTTAACATGTTAAAAGACAGAATGACTGAACTTAGCCATAAATCATTGGAACTAAAGTATAAATAACTAAATAAGCACGACAAAGATAAAATTCAATATGAATCCTTGAATTGCAGAGAAAGGACAGGCAGCTTGTGGTAATTTGATGTAATAATGTAGAACAGAAATAGTACCTTGAAATTGAGTTCTGTTACATCCTATAGAAAGGTGATAGAAAAGATGAAGAACATCAAAATGGACTATAATGCCAAAACCATTTCTAGCTAAAAGATATGACTATAATGAAAGCTGAAAAATCAAAATGGAAAAATTCTCCTAATAATTCCATCAACAACAACAACAACAAAAAAAAAAAGAAAAAAAAAGACAGTATATTCCAACAAGTGTGTTGGAGGTTTGGGGAGTGTGGGATGTATGCAGCCTTACCCCTACCCTGGAAAGGCAGAGAGGCTGTTTCCGATAGACCCTCGGCTGAAGAGAAGGAGAAGCAGCGACAAGTAGTAACAACTCAATATATTAAGAAAATTGAGGCAAAGAAAGCAATCAAACAATAGGTAGTAATAGCAATCTGAGAATAAAACGAACATAAAATATTAAGAAAACCGACTCAAAGATAGCAATCAAATAATAATTCCATCAATTAGTAGAAACCAAATTCATTCAAGACAACACAAAATCCATTTGGATCTACTAAAACCATTAAAATTACCAATAAAACCATGAATAATAGAAAGGACAATAAAGGTAAAAGAAGAGTGATCCAAAGAAACAAACCAGGCTTATAGAAAATGGACAACCCGAAATCGGTAGCCTTAAGGGTAGCATCTTCATCAGAACTATCAAAGAGGAAATTCTCAGGCTTAAGATCTCTATGCATAACACCAAGAGAATGACAAGCCTCAACAACCTTAACAATTGTCTTCATCAAATGTGCAGCTTTTCTTTCACTATAATGACCTTTTTGAACAATCCTATCAAAAAGCTCACCTCCTTTACATAATTCCATAACAATATGGACAAAAAGATTGTCCTCGTATGTCCCTTTGATCCTCACCACATTAGGGTGCTCAGATAAATGATGCATTATTTGAATTTCTCTCCAAACATCTTCATAATCTTCCCTGCATAAAAGTTTCCTTTTTGGGATTGATTTGCATGCATATTGAAGGCCAGTTGCCTTTTCTGTGCATTGATAAGTTGTACCAAATTGGCCTTGGCCTAGTTTCTTGCCAAGAGTGTAATGTTCTCTTAATCTTGGTGTTTGGTAAGGGAGGACATTAGGAGATGGCTTTGCTGATGAAGCTATAGGAGGTCTCTTCTTTGCTGCAGCTTGTGCCATTGTTTTCTTAGAACAATTTTGTTCTCTGTTTTGTTTTTTTTTACCTTGAAAAAAATGGTTGTTGTTTCTTGATTTTGGAGATACTGAGGAAAATTCTCAGTTTCTATTTTTCTTTTCCATATGTTAGATTGTTATTTGGGGGGATTAACAGTTTTCTTGATCTATGGTCAGGTTTTCCTGGCGGGAAATGGGGTGTACGTTGACTTGGTGATGTAGCAATGACAAAGTTGAGTGGGATTTGGAAAATGGAAGGGAGACACGTCCAAAATCAATCAATTATATATATTTTTTCTTTTCTATTTTAAGACTATTTTTCTTGAATTTCTCTTATTTCCACTAACAAGAAAAACAATTGTTATATAATGTGTATTTTAAACTCTTGTTTTAGGATGACCAATCTCACTTATTGTGAAGAATACCCATAATTATCTTTTAGGTGATAAAATTTTATCCGTAATTTTATTCGTAGTTTTCCACTTATTCTCAATATATGTTGATTCGAACATTTTATATACCGGTTAGAATTTAGAAATGAAGACGTCAACTGAATCGCGCTATACAGTTGATAAAAAGTAATTTTGTTTAGAGCATCAAAATGGTATACATCAACGGAACATTGATGGTTGTAAAAATTCTGTTTACTTTCCTCTGTGGAAATTTTTGAACTATCATCATGTGAAGGATTGGGGAAAAACAAAGTAAAAGATTTCCCCATCTATAGGTTTAACTCAGATACAGAAGCGTGAAGGTGAAAGTTTTTCGCTTACCTACAAGGAAAACACATATTATGTAGATTATACTGAGTATGTTGTTGTTATAAGGAAAACATATAACTTATTCTCGGTTTATGGCACATAACTACTAATTAATCTTGCGACGTGACTTTCAACAACAACAACAATCCCAGTGTAATCCTACAAAAGTGAAGTCTGGGAGGGTAGTGTGTACGCAGACCTTACCTTCCACGTTGTGAAGGTAGAGAGGTTGTTTCCGAGAGACCTCAACTCAGAGAAAGCATTCGACGTGACTTCCATCTATCTAAAATTTAGACATAAGGAAAACGGCAGCACCATTTATTTTCATATAATTAAAACAAGTATTACGACATTAAGTAGCACATTTACATTAGGGATACTCTTTCCCACACATGGTACAAAGTAATTTACTTTTTAGCTCAAAACACCATAGAAACAAGCATAGATAAGAAGTCTAAACACATGATGCAAACTTGTTGGAGAAGAGGTCACAAGAGTTGCATTTCACACACGGTCGGTGTGTAACTGAACTGTTTGGCTTGGAACAATTTGTAGCACTCCAGGTTGCTCTGCAAAAGATCACATCTTAGTTAGGCTAGTCTGAGAGCATAAAAGCCCCCAAAAGAACAATGCTGAAAATCATATGAACATATTTTTCAGGAGAGAAAATACAAAAACTGATGCATTGTTGGGTTACAAAATTAAGATTTAAGTAAACAGAAACCAAAATATACACAGTTACCAAATAGTAGGGATCCCGATTTGTCTTGATGTTAGTACTATCCTTGACTTCAAAAACAAGAGTAAAGAAGATATAAAAATGAGGCACTCAGGTCATTTTAGACATCCAGGAAAACAATTCCAAAACCTCAAGAGTTATATGTCAATTGCAAGACATTGTGGTGGACCCCAAGGATGTAATTCCTACAAATGAATCGATGTGATATAGAGATACTTAGGAGAAGACGTCCACAGTGCATACTGTGATCAGGTAGGACCTGGCATTTAGGCCCTAACAGAAAGAAAACTATAAATTCAACAGCTTTAGCCATGGTTGCTGAATATCAAGCACCGGCTACATCAGTGAACCATGTGAACTGCAATTTATTTAGCCTTCAAGAATGACACCAGAATATAGCCCAGAACCTCGGACTTGCCCCTGTGATGAACTAGATGGTATGGACCACCGGGAGTAAGGGCGCTCTATGTCTAGGAGCTTGAAATTTTTTATATAGATAAATGGAACTAATAAAAAATTTGAGAAGTAATCCTATGTCTCTGGGCATTTCCTTCCAAAAGAGTTCCAATAATTGTACATCTGCCCTCATTACTTACATCCTTTTTAAGGTAAAGTTGAAAGTCATATCAATAGTGAACCATTTCTCTCATCCTTTTCAGGTAAAGTTGAAAGTCCTATATCAACAGTGAACGATTCGTCTCATACTTTTTCATGTAAAGTTTAAAGTCCCATTGTTAATAGTGGACCATCTTGGTCAAGAATTAAAGATTATGCTCCATATAAAACCACTAAACCTATCCTAGAACAACCCCTACCCCTCTCCCTAAGCACGAAAAAGAAAGAAAGACCCAAACCATTCTACAAAAGTCGAGACAACGATGCTTACTCTATCTTTTGATGGTTACACCATTAATGATGAAATGGAAATCATATTTTGAATCTTAAATTTGAGATTAAGCAAGAAAGATAGAAATGTTTATTGTTAAAAAATGTGTGAAAGTCTTCAATAGAACGAAAATATTATATTCAACCCTCAACGTGAATGCCAATACTTCAATATACAAGCATTATGGCTGTCATATATAAATCTCCATACTAATTACTCATCTAAGAAAGAGATACAGATCAACCATATACCAAAATAGGAATCAATGATGTTGAAAGAGAGAGAGTAAAAGCTTACTTGAGAGCTCAGAAACCTGCTCAGCAGTCAGCTTTGCTGAGAATCCACTTGCTGCATGCTTGTAACTGTATATCAACGCCTCTTTTGCAGCCTCCTCACTTTTTGATTTCCATAAGCACACACAAAATATCAGGATCTTTACTCCAAAATTATGCATATACCACACAGTAATACTGATAATTACATATAACTGATAATTGATAGTTAGCATTTTCAATGCCCTTTTTCCTCCACCAAAGGAAACTCAAATGATCTTCAACCCCATCATTCTTTCATTACAACAAATACGGGATTGGTTGAAAATTGGAAATATTATTTCGAGAAGTTTCATACTTTATTCAAATTAAGATCACAAAAGTCAATCTGACTTGTTTCTAATTATCCAAATTAACTTGCAAACACGAAATTGGTACGCACCACTAAATGTTCTTGAAGTTCGAGTATACATTACATCAAATATTTTCATTTCTAGAGCTATAATAATTTTTACTTTAAAAATCTAACAAATTCCTTTAGAATCAGACTACTCTTATAACTTTTGAAATAGGCCAATCACTTGCCTCCTCGTCCCCATTCCCTTAAGAAAATGCCTAGTATGCAATCATTATAAGCAGTTGTTAAGGTGGAAAATATATCCTTGGCAAATATTTCCTTTTACTAATGAAATCAATTCTCTAACCATCTTTCAGTGTTTAGCTTAGTCCTACAAGCTGAAGGATGCGGTAAGACAATAGCATTAAGGTATTTTTCAGCATTAAAGGTGGATAATATTATTCATGTGTTGGTTGAAACAAGCATATAAGTAAAACTTTGTCCCTTATTTTCTAACAAAACACTAGAAAAAGAATTCACCAAAAAAAAAGGAACTAGGACACATCAAACACACCCAAAGAAAAAAATTGGATCTTGAAGATAATACAAGGACAAAATTCAAACTACATGTGAGAAAAATTCAATTGGTTAACTTAAAAAACAAACAAAATGGCTAAATTTATAAGAAACAAGATCAATCCAACCAAACCCACAACCCCATATTTCTAAATTAAAATTCAAAACAGGAAAATGAACAGAATTGGAAAATAATTCAAACCTGCCAAGAACAGAAGCTAGGGTTTTGATATGATAGTCCTCAGCTTCTAGATCTTCAGGTTTCTCAGTGTATACTATATGAACTTTGGCTTCAATGGAGGGCTGTGAATCTGCCATCGTTACGATAGCTGCAATCAACAAGGAAAGCAATAGAATTGAAGAAAGTATTTGATCTTTCTGCATCACTTTCAATTGCTAAGTACTATTTATAGAGCATTAGGGATATTCTTGGATAAATTGGGAATTTGAGACTTTTTATCCTTAATGACTAAGTTTCAGAATCCTTGCAAGTTACAATACAATGATTTTAGATTTCTTTTCTTGTTTATATGGGAGTATACTTTTCTTTCTTGGGATTAACGGACTAGATTGTCTCTGTCCATACACGGCATGTTGATTTATTCTGGGGGTTGCCACTAATTTCTTAAAAACGGAGGGGAGAAATGTAAATTAATTTTTGCTTGGACACGTAGGTGATAATTTACATTTTGAATTAATTAGGGTGAAGTTGCTTACAATTTGGGTTGTCTAAGGGGAGGGTATTGGGTAGTTAAGGGTTAAAAGTAGGGAGAGAGTAAGGGATCTTAAGGGTACTTTTCTAAAGAAACTTAGGGGTATGGGTTAGGGGTATGGGGTAAGAGTACTTTTATAGGTACCCTACCAATACCTCTATCGGTCGGTGCGGTACCGATATTTAGGGATAATTTTAAATTAAATTTTTTTTTAAAATTATATTTAAATACAAACAAACTTAATGGATAAAAAAAATTCAAGGCTATGATTTCAATAATTATTAAAATAAAATTATAATTTACGAAATTTTTCAATAATTTATATTGGTTCTTCGCTTGAAATTGATAACACTTGTTTTTATGTGTCCCTACTGTCTCCGGTAGATAGTATTTCACTATAGATATCATCGCCTTCTTAAATTGTTTCTGGAAGGCCAAAGTTTCTTCTCTTCCAATATTTCAGCAAGTCTTTATTTTCTTCATCATCGCAAAGATTATTTCTAATAGTTCTAGGAAAACCTTGAAAAGTAGGATTATATTTTTCTTGTATGTAACGCATAAACCCCGAACTGCTAAGGATTTGTTTCAAAATGATGACCCCCTCTTTAGTATTACCCTTAGCCAATCTATTACTTTTTTTTAAACCAGTTTAGGAGCTATTTTTAATAATAAATAATTAAAATAACAACAAATAACAACATAAATATAACAAAAATAAATGCAAAAATTAATAGGAGTGCTAAAATGTCAATTGCAAGTAGAGATAGAGAGAGATAGAGAATTAGAGAGATATGAGAGTTTTGTGTGAAAATTGAAAGAATAAAATGGAGTATTTATAGTCTTAAAATAGGGCCAAAGTGTATTTGAACAAGCTTAGAGGTTAAAATAAATTAGGGGATAGAGAGTGTTAGAGGGTTAGGGTGGCAAAAAAAGTCGTCTTTGGCTGTTGCCAACGACAATATTTTTTTAAAAAAAAACCGTTGACTAACGGTGCAAAAACGGTCACATTTAAAAAAATAATCTTAAGGGTACCGGTCCAGTACCTTAAGGGTACAAATCGGATCGGTACTAAGGGTATTTTTTTCGGTACCCTCCCATTACCCTTACCTTTACCCAAATCCCTCGCCCCTACCCTCAATTTGGACCAGTACGATGCGGAACGGGTATGGGTAATACCTTCCACTTAGACAACTCTACGTACAATAGACCCTTGTGGCCCGACCCTTTTCGGACCCCACACATAGCAGGAGTTTATTGCACTGAGCTGTCCTTTTTTAATCAAAATTAGATATTCATAATTGACCAATACTTTTAGAGATAATTGTTTCTAAGTTATCAATCACTTTATCTTATAATTTGTTTGACCAAACTTTTGAAAAGTCAAAAGTGTTTTTTTAAGGGCTTATCTCGTAGAGTTAGGTGTTTGGTGAAACTTTTAGGTAAAAAAAAAATTATATAAGTGCTTTTGAGCTATAGCAAAAACTATTTTTCAGAAGCTAAAAAATAGTGTTTCCCTAAAAGCGCTTTTGAAACCTTGGCCATTCACAAATAGTTTTTCCAAAACACAAACTGCTATTTTCAAAAGTATTTTTTTGAAAAATACTTCTATCAAAAAATACTTTTAAAATAAATTAATTTTAAATACTTGGTCAAACATGCTACAGTAGACTCGTACTACCATGAAACCTTTTTTTTTTTTAATAGCAAAAGTCATTTTTCAAACTAACACCAAGGAAGAATAGGTTTAAGTTTCTTGTAAAAATGAAAAAACAATTCTCATTGTTTGGTTGAAAAACAATTATTGCAGTAAAGGTTGATTTTTTTTTTAAAAAAAAACAAGCTTTTCAAACTTTCGATGCAAACATCAATTTTTGACTCTCGGTTAAAAAGGTCAATTCTGATTTAGAGTAAATTTGCGCATTTATTTATTGTATATACTCATCATTTGTCGTACATGATTTTTCTGCAAGTAGGCATTTGTCTTACATGACAGTTATTACTTATTATATTGGCATGTAAAACCGATTTATCATTCTTCAGGCTAAACGGAAAAATGATGCATTATTGGTCACGCGTTAACGATCCATAAACTAAGGTACTTCTTTCGTTACCTATAGGAATGTAAATGGATATTTAAAAATCAACTAAATCGATCGAATCGTATCGTAATGAATTGATTTTTAGATTTTTTTTTATAAAATCGTAGATTTTTATATAAATCTATAATCGTACCGATAATTAGGGTAGATTTTTTATTTTATAAAAATAAACTGAAAATATACCAAACCGTACCGAATAAATTTACATGTGAAAAATATATTTATATATTAAGTTTAAGAATAATAATGTATTAAAATTTTCCTTGGGCCTTGGAATTGTAAAAAATGTTACAAACAAACAAGTAATTAAACTCAAAATCTTAATTGACAAACCTATAATGCTACTCCTATTGAAACTAAATTATTTCTAATATATTCACTAGCACGACACAAGCTATTCTAGCGATTAGTAGCAAACTACAATGTGTTGAATATGTTTCCTTTCATATAATTTAGATTTATCTTTTTGAATATTTAATCTTCTATAAACTTTATTCTTGAGTTCCAACTTGATTAATATATTTTCGCTCGGTTAATATCTTTGTTTAGTTTTTTTTACGTTGTTTTAAAATAGTTGATGGATATATACTCTGACTATCTTTAATGTTTTCTTAATTCATCACTCTTTAAAGAGTAAAAATATCTAGAGAGTTTGCTAAGTCCTATAAAAATATGTATGTTATTGCATTCTACTTCTACTAGTGACTTTTACATGACATTTTAAAAAATACTAAAAATTAACCGAACTGTACCGATACCGAAGAGAAACCGACATTCCGAAAAGTCTAATTTTAGTTATGCATAATAGAATAACCGAAAAATTAGTATGATACAAATTTTAGAAAAAACTCGTCCGAACCGAACCATTGACACCCCTAGTTACCTATGAATAAACACACAAATAAAACAAGAAGATACAAGAAAATGACACTTTTGACACTCCGAGGTAAATTCCTACATTCCCAGGTAAATTCAACTATTAATTATAAACCACTCAGTACATTTACAACCTCACATGCGTTCAATAGTTTCAACATATTGTTATCACAAATTGAATATCTTGTTAATGCTCAGATATTAAGAAAGTGAAAGATTCAATCCAGTCTCAAGCGATCTGAAACTTTAGAGAACATGTACTTTAAGATATCCACAAACCATGCATGGCTTGCAGTTGATTGAAGTCTGTGTACTTCAGAGACATCTTGTAAAGCTCTCTCAGCTTACCGGCATCAGCAGACTTATTTGAGGCGCTGTGCTGAGAGTTGGCTGAAGATCTATTCGTCGTTGGAGAGAGTGAGACAGACAACATCTTCTTCAACAGCATCTGCAGCTGGCTCCAATATTTATCACAAATCTCAACATTGTCATTCCTCAGTGATGTGTTTCCAGATACATGGCGAGCTTCAAGCATACAAATCAGAGCAGACTCCAGAAGCTGTTACAGTAGTATTTAATCAGTCATTTGCCGTTTAAAGGATATATTTTTCCGTAAAACAAAGCAATAAAACTTGAAAATTATGTTTTTAAAAGTTCAGATAATTATGGCAGAAATATCTGCTTAAATGTACTTGAAAATATTTTGGCATAACATCCTAACAAAAGCTTTTTTTCCATCCTAACAAAAGCTTAAAAAGTGATTCTAACTAGCACATGTTCTTATCTAAACTTAAATTGGGATATCATCCTCCTTTCTATCCCTTATTAAAAAGTATACAAGTATTACAACTTTAGGTCAGGTTCAATAGGTTTAAGAAACAATGAAACAAAAAGTATGAAATGGATAAGACGAGTCTTTGTGATTGATAAGAAAATGGATATTAGCTAGCTCAAGTGAAGATTGTTGAAGATCAAGGAGACAACTAATTCCATCAACCAATGTGGAATATGTTAACACCACTGTTCCTCTGCTCACATTAGGACTGGACAAGCGGAGTTGGGATTGTATCTTGGGTGCCCAACATTAGGAAACACAGCAATAGGAATGGATCTAGTAGCAATAATATGAAAAAGAAAAAAAGATTGGACCTAACTCAACCCAAAAGACTAGCACATGAGGTGAATATTGCCCAAGACCATATAAAAGAGACAACAACCCATTCCCTCAACCAACGTGGATACTTTAACACTGATTTTCAACATTTATTTCTACACATTGCATTCTTTGTTACTAAACCTACATGCACCAGAATCACCAAATGGGTACAGCAAATGCATTCTCAGACCTTTTAAAGAAAAAGTATGACTAGATTTATACTTCAGTGGCATATATAGTAAAAGCTCATCGGGCCAATAGTCGTTCGTGGATATATTAAAGCAAATAGTGTGTAAGATGCAACACGATCATTTAAAGCACATTGACAGAAAGCTAGACAAGCCACTGTTGAAAAAGAATGCACGGATATAGTCAAGAAAATCAAGTGTAAGCTCAGAAAATAATTAATCAACCAACACTGGAAACAAAAGAAGATGAAGATTGAAAAGATTCTATAAAGCACAGAAAAACCACTCTTATAGTTGGGGAAAAAATGAACATCTATAGTAAAAAAAAAATCAAGCTTTTTTCCTCAAATGGCTAGATCAATGAAAAAAATCAAGCTTGAGATTAAAAAAAAAAGAAAGAGACGAACTTCGAAAAGATTCTACAAAAGCACAAGGATGTACAATCATACCATGTTAGAATGAAGAAAATTCGACAGATTCAGTA